GGCCCACCCACCGCACCCACTCAGCCCACACGCACGCCCCCCGTTCCTGACCCACTCCCCCCCCGCGCCGGTCTCCGTGGCGTTTCGGCGTCTGCGGGGTTTGCCCGTGTGGGTTGTGACTCCGGCGTCTGCCTTGTGCGGGGTGCCCGGCTCTGGGCCCCGACTGTAGAATCTCCCGCCACCCGCCCGGCGTCTGCAGAACCAGCACGAACGTCCCCCCTTGTGTCTCTGGTTTTAGTGACTCGAGTCTTTTCTCCTCCGTCCGTCTCGCTAAAGGTCCGTCGGGTTCGCTGGTCTCTCCGCCGACTTTCTGGGCTGTGTCCTGCTCCCTGTTTCGCTTCCCTCTGCGCTGATCCGTGTTCTTTCCGTCCTCCCGGTCGCCCTGGGCTCGGTTCGCTCCTCTCTCCAGCCCGCGTCGTGCGTGAGGTCGCTGGCGTCTCGTCACTCCCCCTTCGCCCCCCTTCTCTGCCTCCCGTGAGCCTTGCTTTCTTGTGTCTTGTTTTCTTTTGACTCTAAATAGAAATCACAACCCGCGATTTCTAGGAGGGGATCGTGTCCCTGGGGTGCGCGGAGCCCCCTCTGCTCCCTGGGATTTCTCGTTGGATCCCTCGGTTAGGAAAGTGTCGTTGAGCCGGCCGGCGGGGCTCAGCGGCTGAGCCTCGACCTAGGATCCCGGCGCCTGGGGTTCGATGCCCGGCTGTGGGCTCCCCCAGGAGGCGGCCGATCAATGACTCTCATCAGTGATGTTTCTCTCTCTCCCTCTCCCTTCCTCTCTCTGAAATCAATGAAGATATATTTAAAAAATAAAATAAAAATGGAAGTGGTGTTTAATTTCCACAATTGTGTGAACTTTCCGGTTTCCTTTCCGTTGCTGGTTTCTGACTCCGGCTGCGGTGGGAGAAGGCGTGTGGTGTGACCCCCCGTCTTTCGACGTCCGTGGGACCTTCTGAGTCCTTGCGGCTCACGTGTGGCCTGTCCCGGGGAGCGGGCCCTGCGACCTGGGAGCGTGCGCTGCAGGGTGGCGGCCGTGTGTCCGTCGGCCGGTCCCGCCGTCTGCCTTGCCTTCCTGGCCCCCTGGCTCCTGTTCCCCCGGGTACCCTGCCCAGGCGTCCGTCCGTCCGTGTGAGGGCAGAGCCGTGGGGCGGTCTGTTCCTCCCTCAGTTCCTCCACGTATTGCTCCACGCGCGTTTCGATGGTCTCCCGTTAGGTGCGGGAACATGCGTGACTCATCTCTTCTCGCTGCGCCGAGCCTTCCGCTGATCTGTAACCGCCGATCTTAGATCGTCGCCATAGTTTTGCCTTTTCGAGGAAATCGTAGAGCTGGAATCATGCAGGACGCGGCCTTTTCAGATCGACTCCTTCCACTCAGTGGAGCACCCAGGGCCCCTCCGTGTCTGTCCGGGACGGGACAGCCCGTGTCTTTGCAGCTGGCTTGGCTTTTTTTTTTTTTTTTAAGTGAGAGGGAGAGAGATGGAAACATCCATGAGGAGAGTCATCGATCGGCTGCCTCCCGCACACCCCCTCCTGGGGATGGAGCCCGCAACCTGGGCATGTGCCCTGATGGGGCATCGAACCGCCATCGCCTGGGTCCTGGTCGATGCTCAGCCGCTGAGCCAGGCTGCTGAGCTGGTTTGACTTTTTAAACGTTGGACTCAGGTGCTCCCGAAGGTCACAATCAGCCCTGTGATTTCTAGGAGGAGGTCATATCCCTGGGGGTGCAGAGCCCACCTCTCCTGCCTGAGGCCCGATGCAGGCCTGGCCCCGGAACAGGAGGAAGGGCTGGGCTACGGGGTCCCTGCAGGGCTATGGGGTCCCCGCAGGGCTTCGGGGTCCCCTCAGGGCTACGGGGTCCCCGCCGGGCTACGGGCCGGGGGATGGGCGAGGGCCCTGGGCAGCCGGCCTGGCGCAGTCACCCGCTCGCTCGGCGTCTGTTGGCAGCTGTCCCTGGACAAGGAGCTCATCGACTTCGGCAGCTACGTGGTAGGTGAGACCACATCCAGGGTCATCACCCTGACCAACACCGGGGGCTTGGGCACCGAGTTCAGGATCCAAGCGGCGTCCCAGTCCTGCGAGACGGACTTCACCCAGTTGGTCACGAGAATGGTGAGTGTCCGGGGGCGGCTCATCGAGGGCCCCGGGGAGATGGACAGTGTTGCCGAGCAGCCTGTCTTCAGGGCCTAGACAGGGAGCCGGACGTCCCGGTCCGTCTGCGCAGAGACCCCGGGGTCTCGTCGCTGCGGGGACGGGGGCAGCAGGCCCGTCCCCTCCTGAGCATGTGATGACAAAGCCGTGCCAGGAGCTCCGGGCGCCCAGCCTCTCCCTGCTGCCTCCGAAGTCCCCGCGTGGCGCAGGCGGCAGAGGGGGCCCCTCCTTCCCAGAGGCTGTGCAGGGGCCGCCAGGCGGGCGCCGCGGGCAGCTCCTGGCACACCCCGCGCATCCCGGGAGCACTGGGGGAGCGGGCGGGTGAAAGACACTTTGCCTGTTTATTTACTTACTTGCTTCTTGTTAATTCTCACCTGAGGGGACTTTTTCCATTGCTTTGCAAAGAGCGTGTACAGGGGAGAGGGGGTGCTGGGGGGAGAGAGACATCAGTGTGAAAGAGACACATCCATTTGTTGCCCCCCACAACGCACTCCGACTGGGGATCNAAGAGACACGTCCATTGGTTGCCCCCCACAACGCACTCCGACTGGGGATCGAGCCTGCGACCCAGGTATGTGCCCTTGGCCGGAATCGAACCCGAGGCCCTTCAAGGCCCAGGCCGATGCTCTAACCACCGAGCCAAACCAGCCAGGGCAAAACTTTGCCGTTTTAAAACACTCGTCCACATGAGTTGCACGTCCCTGCGGGAAGCATCGGGCTCCTGCCCGGGCGGGGTGCTCCTGCTGGGGTCTGTCTACCTGGACAGCAGCTCCGCCCGGGCAGTGCCCGGTGTCTGTCCCCCTGTGGCCCTTGTGTCCCACATGGCGGGCACGATCGCTGTGTCGTAAGCACAGCAGAGAAGACGGGGTGGCAGTGACCTCCGGGCAAGAAGCAGAGGTGGGGCTGGGCCAGCCCCAGGCCTGCAGCCAGGCTGAAGCCAAGAGAGTGTGGAGCTGGAGCCAGGAGAGAAGCCTCGCACCCTGAGCTCAGGAGGGGCGGGGGAGCACCCGGTGGGCCCCGGGAGGAGCCCCTGGCCAGCTGCTGTGGTCTTGAGGCTGGGACAGGTAGAGCCGTTGGCTGGGGAGGGCCCTGCAGGAGCCAGCGGCCCCCACCCAGATCAGGCTGGGCTCCCGCATGGCCTCCTGGAGACAGGGCCCCAGGGAGCTGAGTGAGGAAGGCAGGTGGAAGGTGCCAGCAAAGATGTCGGGTTCTCTCTCCAGAGCAGCGTCTTCATGTCCGACGACAGAGGCGCCTACGAGAAGGGCGTCTCCAGTGTGTCTGAGCATCAGATAGACGGCAACGACTCCTCTCTGGGGGACGTGCGCAGCCAGAAGGAGCCGGACGAGGTGCACACTGCAGGTGAGCTGGGCGGGCGGCTCAGACTGTGCCACCCAATGCGCAGCCACGGCCACGGCCACGGCCATGCCTGCCTCTGTGTGTTGTCTTTTGTGTGGAACGTCTGTGAGGGTTACTGCCTCCTTTCTACGGGCTCGCTTGTCTTTCCCGTGTTTACCCGTGCGAGTGTCTCCACGTCCTCAATACCTCGCCCTGTGGCAGAAAGTACTGGCTCCCAGTCTCTCTACTCTCCTCTGGTCTCTCTCCTCAAACCAACGTCCTGAATCTTAGTGTTTGCAAATCTCCCCATCACGTCTCAGGATCTGTGACTTTCATGCCTTCATGGCACACTTCTCCTACCCCCAGATCATGACCATGTGGACATGGCTTCCCGTTTGGGTTGCTGGTCCCCCTGGAGCTCCGTGTGTGGCGGGGGGCGCGGGCGGGCTCCTGTCTCCCACATGGATGGCCAGCTGCTCCTGCCACGTGCACCAGGAAGACTTTCCTCTCCCCGTCGGGGAACTTGTCGTCTTTGTCGTGACTCAGTTTCTTATCTGTGCTGCCAATGAGCTGACAGGGCAGGCATGTTTCTGGACTCCTGCTCTGGTCAGCTGGTCCATTTGGAGCAAGTCCCGAGGCCACGTAGTGTAAGTCACCCAGCTTTGTGGGGTTTTTCCTAGCTATTTACTTTGGATAGTTTAGGTACCGTGTATAAATTGTAGAAATACTTCTTGATCCCTACAGACAAACCTAGTGTATGACAGTCGTTGCATTGAATCTATAGATCAACTTGGGGAGAATCGATGTCTTAATAACATTGAGTCTTTCGATCCATAAACATGGTACATGTCCCCATTTAATTAGTCTCCTTTCATTTTTTTTAGTCCTGTTTTGTAGTTTACAGCAGCGAATTTCAACCGGTGTGCCGCAAGGATTTTTAAAGTGTGCCACACCTGGCTATGAAGTCAGGGCACTGACCTCTCCTCCCTTAGGTTGCCACATAAAAAAAACATGGCAACATCCAACACAAAATAGCTGTCCAGTGTGAATGAACCAAAATTATACCAATTTTTTGGTCAGATCGGCAAAAAAATATATATTTGGGGGGGGTGCCACAGAATTTTAGTAATTAGTTTATGTGCCATGAGGTGAAGAATGTCGAAAATCGCTGGTTCGTGGTATAAAGATCTTAAACATTTTTGGTCAGTTAATCCAGCATGACAGTCTGACTTTTCCCAGATAATCTAATCCATTTACATTTATTGTAACTTGATATTTGCATGTATTTCCACCATCTTATTTTGTGCTTTACACCGCTCCTTTTTTTTTAAATCTCATTTTCTGGTGTTTTAGCCTCTCTGCTTCTTTTCCTCTCTGCTAATCAGAAAGTCCCCTGGTCTTCAAAGTGGCCCTGGAACAGGAGCCACACCCTCTGCAGCCTTTGCTGGCAGCCTCGCCCCAGGAGGGGCCCTCACCCCGAGGGCCCGTCGCCGGGCAAACGTCTGGTGTGAACCCCAGGCTCAGGAGGAGACAGAGCCCGCTTAGGACATGGGAAAATATCACAAAAGAGTAAGGTCAGGTAGATTTGGAAAATCAACCAAATAAAACTTCTAGGGGAAAGAATATGGTGGGTTAAACTGTTGATTAGACTTTGCTGAAGAGAGAATCAGTGAACTAGAAGACAGACCCAGAGGAAACTTCTAAACACAGACAGACAGATGGAAACACGAAAGAAATGGTACAAGCCCCAGAGGACAGCATAAGCTCAGACTTGCCTACTGGCTGGAGTCAGGGATGGGCAGGATTTAGAGAGACGCTTGCTGAGAATTTTCTAAAATGTTGAAGCACATTGAAGTCACATTCCGGATGTGAGTAGATACCCACCCTGTGGCTGAAAGACGGAGCAGGTGCCTGGAGCAGACACACTGGACTCATAATGAAAGGAAACTTTCCAAACCAATAACAGGCCTGACTCCAGAATTTATGAAAGCTGACCGTGTCCCCAGCAAGTGGACCAACACGGCTCAGCCCAGGGACACCAAGAGATCCCCGCTGCCACCTACGCAAAATGAAGCCACTGACCCCAAATTCACTGACCCCAGCCTGTCCCGGTGGTTACTCTCGAAGCAGACAAGGACTCACCCCCTCCCTCCCCTGCCCAGGTGACAGCTGCAGCCTCTGGGCAGGGTGACAAGTCCACCAAATCTCAGAAGCCCAGAGCTGGGGCCTGCTCCCCTGACAGCCTCAGCCCCAGACGTGGGCACACCCCTGGGGGTGATGATTTGGCCACACATGGTGTCCAGGGTGCTGAGCCTAGGGCTGTCCATGGTGGCTCAGCTGGGGAGCCGGGCAGCTGGCAGCTGGGCAGAGAATGACTTGGAAAGGAGGCTGGCCTTGGCCTTGCCTACCAAATCTTGCCTGTCCACGTGCAAGGTCAATAGAAAGGCCTCAGACGAGAGGAAACAGCATCTGCTTTCAGGGGCCTTCCTGTAAATGGCCTGCTGGTTCTTGGGGCACCCCCTGGACCCCAAGGGGCAGGTCAGGGTCCACAGCCCACGAGCGGGAAGAGGTGATTGGAACAGGCCAGTGGCATGCACATGGAACTAAGTACCTGTGGGAAATTAGGCTATGAGATTTGGTTATAAAAGTCCTTGGAAGGTGATATGGTTTAAAATTTTAGCAGTCCCTCTGCTCCACCGGGTCACTAGAAAATGGCAGGCATCAGGAGGGGCCCCTCCCCAGGCCCCGGACGGGCGCCCCTGCCCCAGGCCACACTCCTGCAGCCTGTCCTCGCCCTGCGGGAGCCGCCCCCCCTCCCGGCCACACGCATTCCCCCCTTTACTCATCTGAACACAAGCCCCCTTTGCGTCCATGTCCCCCCTCCTCCTGCTTTGAAGCAAACCCCAAAGGCTGGCTGGGGTGCTCCCCCATCTCCCCCCTCAGGCTGCTGCACCACCCTCCCCTCGCTGGGGCTTTGGGCGAATNTTTGGGCGAATCCTCTCCTGCCCCAGCTTCCTGCTCCCAAGGGTGGTCCAGGGGAGGGAGGGAGGGAGATCTCCCTGACACCCAGCTTCCTGTGGCCCTGCGGGGACAGCAGGATGGGAGGGAGGGGGTGACTGTCTCAGGGGGTCCGGGCACAGCTGTCCCCTCCCTGCTGGGCTGTCCTCTCACCCGATGCTCTCCTTTTCCAGAATCAGACGAAATGACCACCATCCTGGCCATATTCCCCAATGAGGAGCAGTCGGAGATCTTGCTGGGAGAGGTCAGCAAGGCCCCCCTTCCTCCAGCCACACCCGCCTGAGCTGCTGACCCCGACCCAGGGTGGCCGTTCCACTGGACCAGAGCCAGGCTCGACGTCTCTGGCCGCTGGGCTTGAAGCCTGTGGGCAGCTTGCCGTCGGAGCCTCCGTTTGGCCACAGGCCACCCTGTCCCAAGCTGGGGTCTGGCAGGACCAGGGCAGCAACGGCTGACTTCTGGGTGCAGGGCCTGCCGAGCCCCGGTGTCCTGTGTGAGCGTGTGCCAGGCCGGGGGGTCGTCGAGGAGAGCGGAGCACGGCTGGGGAGCATGCGGGGTGGGGGTTCGACCTGCCCTTCCCCTGCTCCCCTCAGCCGGGATCCCGGGCAGTAAATCTTTACAGGGAAGGGCCAGGCTTGGGACCAGCGTCTCTGTGGCCAAGAGGACATCCCAGGGACATGGGTGCTGCCACCACACCCTCAGAGTGGCATGGCCCGTGGTGAGGACAGAGGGAGGTGCCCCGTGGAAGCGTGAAGCCTGACAGGCCCCGTGGCCTCGTCTCCCGTGCAGATCACAGAGGGTGAGATCGGCCCCTTCAGCTCCATCAAGGTGCCCATCGTCTTCTCCCCGGTCAGCCCAGGAGCCGTCCAGAGAAGGTTCAGGATCACGTTCAAGAATCCGCAGTGCCCGACAGTGAGTGTCCTGCGGTGCTTCGCGCACAGCCCCCCTTCCCCAGCCCCCAGCCCCTGAGACCCAGCTGCCGAAGGTTTCGTGGTGGGCCCACCTCTCCCGGCGACGCGTGAGTCCGCGGCAAAAGCGTTTCTCAGCCGGCACGCCGTTCGTTTCAGCTGCGTGAGCGACGCGCAGCGGGCGTTACACCCTCCTGCCTTCTTCCTTTGAAAGTTCTTATGACAAAGAGGGCTCCCTCGGTGACACGCGGGGAAGTGCCTCGGAAGTCCAGAGCTCAGCCCGGGCAGCCCTGACCGCCGGCGGTCCGTCCGCCCAGCTCCGCGTTAGCGCCGCCCTGCTGGTGGAGGTGCGTGCGGCTGAATCCACACCTTGGAATCAGTTACATTTCAGAGTCATCGGCGTTGCTATTGACGTGCCAGTTTGGGTGCCGAAGCCCAACGTGGACCTGAAGATCTGCATGTACGACCGGCTCTACCAGGACACCATCCTCGTGCACACACGGTGAGCGCGGCCCAGCGCGTTCACGCGCTTGTTTCCCAAACACCGCGACTCGGGGCCGTGGCCCGGTCAGGCAGGAAGCCCCCGGGGAGGCCTCCGTAAGGCTCGGGACCAGGGCCCACGATTCCTGGGCAGATGGGGAAACAGCTCCCTCTCCAGCTGGGCAGCCACCGCCTTCCTTCCCGGAGCTGAGATCACTCCACCTGTGGGGTGAACAGAGACCTGGCTGTGTGACGAGGGGTCAGCGGGAAGGGGGGCAAGCCTCTTGGGAGGCGGGGGCCCCAGGGGTGCCCTGATGGGGGCACTGACACCGTGCAGCACAGAGTCTGCGGGGTGGGTTAGGGGCACCCCTGGCTCCTCTGGCTGGTCCTGAGTTGGGCGCAGGGGCAGAGCTTCCAGGAGCAGCGGTCACCTACCGAGGTCTGACCATCCAGGGGCCCCTCGAACGCCCTGCCCAGCTTGTGCTGCAGGCGGGTGTGTGGGGCCAGCCTGTCTACAGCCTGAGCCTGGTGGAAGGAGGGCAGAAGCCAGTCAAGTAAAGGGTTCCCCTCCTACCTACACCCCTCCCCACCCCTCCAGGCTCCTGCACCCAGCGCTGCCCAGCAGGGGTCTTCCCAGAAAACGCTCAGGTTTCTGAGAACTGACGCCCACGAGGGTGTTGTTCTCATTTATAAGAATGCTCACCAGACGTCGTTGCGGGAGAGCCAGCCCCTGAGAAGCAGGACTTGGGAGACCCTGGCTCTCACCGCGCGGGCAGGGGCCTGGTGTGGGCATGCACCCAGCGCCCTGGACCGCGGGCCCTGGGAACGAAGAGGCCCCGCCCGCGATCAACCGCCACAGCCCCTGTCGGTGTCCCCCGCTTGCTGCAGGTCGAAAGCAGCCCTGCGCCTGAAGTTCGAGGTGTGCAAGGAGCTCAGGGGCCACATAGAGCTCCTGCCGGAGATGGGCTACATCCAGGCCCAGTCGTCCTACTCCGTGCAGCTCAAGTTCCTGCCGCGGTGAGAGCCGGGGACGGGCGGGGGGGTTCCAGACCTGCTGAGCCGGAGGCTGGTGCCAGGCATGGTCCAGCCCCACGTTCCCCGTGTTTCATGTGCTCCTTAGCTCTCACAGGTCTGTTTGTTTTATTTTATTATTTTTTATTTTTTTATTACCTTTTTTTGTTATTTTATTTATTTTATTTTATTTCATTTTTTATTTTCGAGGTGGGGATTGGGGGAGACAGACAGACACCGATTTCTCGTTCCACTTACTGGTGCGTCATTGGCTGACTCTCGCACGGGCCCTGACCTGGGCTCAGACCTGCAGCCTGGGCAGGTCATGATGATGCTGTAACCAACTGAGCCACCCGGCCAGGCTCACTGCAGGACTTAGAAGCACTGCTCAGGCCCGGCCGGCGCGGCTCGGCGGTGGAGCATCGACCTAGGATCCAGGAGATTGTGGTTTGATTCCCGGTCAGGGCACAGGCCCCGGTTCCGGGTTCAACCCGCAGTCGGGGGCGTGCGGGAGGCAGCCGATCAATGACTCATCGCTGATCTCTCTCTCTCTCTCTCCCTCTCCCTTCCTCTCTCTGAAGTCAATAAAGCTATATATTCTCAGGCCGTCTCTTTCAGACACTCCCTCCCCAAAGACGCAGACAAGTACTTTGACACGGAAAGCAGAGTTCTGGATGCCCCCATGACGATCCGGGTGGCTGACCAGGTCTGGGGGGCCTCCTGGGAATGCTGGTGCTCTTGGGGAGCAGGGGCACTCTGGGGGCTGGGCTCTGCGCCCCAGCAAGGCCCCTGGCGGGTGTCCAGTCTCCTGGCCTGCAAATTTGCCGCCTGCCCCTGCAGGGCGGAGGCGAAGGGAGGGGGCTGTGGATCGGAGGGGTTCTGAGCACTGTCCGGGGCCAGCAGCCTGTGCCCAGCACCCAGACCCAGTGTGCCCCGAACCCACAGACACGCCTCCTCCCACCCGTGCGCACACCGGTCCTCACACGCGGGCCGCAGTGCGCGTGCTGGGCGTGACCTCGGTGCGCGGCGCCCGTGTGCACGCGAGTGTGAGCTCTCCCGTGCCTCCCTCGGGACAGCTGCTTCCGTGGCCTCGCGAGCCTGGGTGATGCGGTGGGTCCTTCGAGCGGAGGACTGTGCCTGAGGGGACCTGCCGTGGGCCCCAGGGATGCGCCTCCCTTCCTTATTTTTGGAAATGTTTGCAAACACTGACGGCACGTGACAAGCAGCGCGTCGCCCTTCGCACGCAGGTCAAGCCGGTGGAGTTCACCGTCCACGCCGTCGTCACCACCTCCGACCTGGAGCTCAGCCCCTTGGAGGTGGATTTCGGCTACTGCACCATCTACGAGGCCATCAGGACCTCAGTCAGCATCTGCAACCTCTCCCTCCTGCCCCAGGAGTTCGGGTTCGTGGGGCTCCCCAAGGTGCCTCGCGTGGGCAGGAAGGGCACGGGGGCGGTGGGGCTGAGTTGGGGAGCTCTGGGCACCGGTCAGGGTGGCTGCTGACCCAGGGTCCGGGCGCCTCACCCCTCCCGCACCCCATGCTCACCCCCTGGCTCTGCCTGGCGCTGACTGTCCCCGCCGCCCCAGCCGTCCTTTCTCCGCTCCTTCCTCTCTCTCCTCCTCTCGCCCGCTGCACCCGAGACTCCAGGCGCCTCTGCCCTCCCTTCCTGCCGGCACTCTGGCCTGCCTGGCCCTGCGTGGCAGCCAAGACAAAGCCTCCACCTGGCTGCCCGTCACCCTCCTGGAGCTGCTCCTCCACAGACCCCGCCACCCACTCACAACACACACGTGCTCACATGCACACATGCACACAGACACACTCATATACACACGTGCACTCAGATCCACACACATTACACATAAACACACTCATATACACAAACACACATGCACACGCACTCACACGCAGATGCACATACATATAGACAGACACACAGACACACACACAGACATACAAGCTTACACACAGACTCTCACATAAGCACGCTCATATACACACGTGTGCTCACATGCACACAGACACACAGACACACACTCATATACACATGTGCACTCAGGTCCACACACATTACACATAAACACACTCATATACACAAACACACATGCACACGCACTCACACGCAGACACACATACATATAGACAGACACACAGACATACAAGCTTACACACAGACTCTCACATAAGCACGCTCATATACACACGTGTGCTCACATGCACACAGACACACAGACACACACTCATATACACATGTGCACTCAGGTCCACACACATTACACATAAACACACTCATATACACAAACACACATGCACACGCACTCACACGCAGACACACATACATATAGACAGACACACAGACACACACACAGACATACAAGCTTACACACAGACTCTCACATAAGCACGCTCATATACACACGTGTGCTCACATGCACACAGACACACAGACACACACATATACACACGTGCACTCAGATCCACACACATTACACATAAACACAGTCATATACACAAACACACATGCACACGCACTCACACGCAGATGCACATACATATAGACAGACACATACAAGCTTACACAGACTCTCACATAAGCACGCTCATATACACACGTGTGCTCACACGCATACAGACGTGCTCACATGCTAACACACACACCAGCCTGCACACCACACCCTGCCGCGCCTCAGCCGCACGTGTGCCCGCGCAGTCCCGGCGACACGCCCCTGCTGACCGCCGCGTTTTCTCTTTGGCGCGGGTGGCTCCCCGCGTGCAGTTTGTGGACATCCAGCCCAACGACGGGTTTGGGACGATCCTGCCGCTGGAGACCGTGGACCTGGACCTGATCTTCCAGCCCACCAAGGCCAAGGAGTACAGCTTCGAGCTCGTCTGCAAGTCGGAGATCAACCGGTGAGCGGGCCCCGGGGAGGCGAGGGGCTGCTGCCCAGCCGGAGCGGCCGGCTGACCGCAGGCCGGGCCCCAGGCCGGCTGCAGGCCCCTCGGACCCGGCACAGATGCTGGGCCCAGGGGCTGTGCAGGTGGGGCCAGCTCAACCCTGCGAGTGAGAGGACGTCCTTCGGGGCTGTGACCGGCGACCCCTCGTCGCGTGCCTGTCAGGGAAGCTCGCCTGCAGCCTTCAGACCTGTCGTCTATTTAGCTGAAATCAAACCCTCCCTCTCCCTGAATGTCTCAGGCGCTGGCATGTTAACCGCCCGCCGTCCATGGAGGTCGGATGGCCGCCGAGTTTTCTTTCCCCCTGGTGCCCAGGGGCCTGTCTCTTCTCTTTTAAGATCCAGCAATTGTGTAAGAGCACAATTTCGGTGTTGGTGGCTCTGGACTGATTTTCCCAGGTGCACAGTGTGTTTCAAATATTTTTTTATTTCGGGAACATTTCCCTGAATTTTTGTCCCCAGTGCTTGCTTTGGTGCCTTCCTCTGGGGCCTCCTTTGTTTCTCCCCTTCGCACCTTCTCTCAGGCACTTTCCATCACTTCTTTACGTTTTAGGTGTTTCGCCTTTACCTTCAATTTCTCTCTCTTTTTTTTTAATATGTTTTTATTGATTCCAGAGAGAGGAAGGGAGAGAGAGGGAGAGAAACATCAATGATGAGAGTCATTGATCGGCTGCCTCCTGCACGCCCCCGACTGGAGATCAAGCCCGCAACCCGGGCCTGTGCCCTGACCGGGAGTCAAACAGCGACCTCCTGGATCCCAGGTCGATGCTCAACCACTGAGCCACGCCTGGCCGGGCTGGACAGGTCATTGTTACCGACAAGTGTGATGGGGCAGGTCAGCGGCATCCTCTGAGCACGAAATACTATGTGCAGCCAGGATGAAACCCCCGCAGACAGTGCTGTGGAAACAGGAGCTTGGAGGAAACACGGGGCGTAAACTTCCAGTGGTTGAAGCACCAAGGGCAGGATTATCTTGCGGTGGTGCACAGATCCCTGTGCTCATCCCTAACGGGCAATTTATCGGTTTTACTTTCCTTAAATGTCAGTAAGTATATAACAAAATAAGCCAGAAATGACCTCCTTAGCAACCGTTTGACTTTGTGATTAAAACTTTAACTGTCCACTTAAATTGTGCACGGAGCCCTGGCCGGGTCGCTCGGTTGGGTAGAGTGTCATCCGGATGCTCCGAGGCTGTGGGCTCGATGCCGGGTCCAGGCGCATACAGGCGTCAACGTTGCCATGAAGCCTCACTAAGTGGAACAAATCCATGTTTCTACCTCCCCGTGATCACAGAAATACACCGGACTTTCAAAATGCCTTAAAATTAATTAACGGGGTGGTGAGCAAAACCTGGGACAACTGCCGTCAGCGTCCTAGGCACCCCTGTGTGTGAGTCACCCCCCACCGGGGGTCTGCCCCGGCTGCACTCAGAGGCCACCTGGCCAGGCCCCAGAGGGACCTGGCGCCCTGCAGCCAGGTGCCCCCGGCTGAACCTGCCCACCCTGGTCACCTCCAGGTGCTTCAAGATGACATGCCGGGCCGTGGGAGTCCACCCGCCCCTGGAGCTGTCCCACTACCAGGTCAAGTTTGCGGCCACGTCTTTGTATGACACGTCCGTGGCCACCCTGTACGTCATCAACTCCCACCTGAGCATGAACTCGCTGACCCACTCTGTGCCCCGCATCGGCTCGGAGGACACCTGCCCCGTGGGGCCCACCTCCTTCGAGTTCCTGCTGCCCCCAGACTCGCCCATCACCATCTCACCCTCCGTAGGGACTGTGTTGCCAGGGAAGGTGAGTGTGGGCTGGCATCACAGCCTAGCCCTGCCCACCCTGACCACAGCAGATGTGGGGCTCAGCTCTGCCCCCCGTGAGACCCAGGAAGGTCAGGGCCCTCTGTGGCCAGTGAGCTCGGCCAGGGAAGAGGCCTGGCCCAGCCGGAGGCAGGGGCTCCACCCACTGTCCCCACAGGCACCTGGCTGGGCTCGGGCAGTTACACCTGCAGGAGGTGTGCAGCCCTGGGACCTCAGAGCAGGTGGGCACAGAGGCCGGTCACCAGGAGCGCAGGGTGTGTGTCTGTCTGCTGGACTGGTCCAGGGTTTCCCCCCACTCTGCTTTTCCCCGATAGAGCAGAAAGATGCCACCCCCAGGTCATCACAGCCTCTCTGAGCTTAAATCCTGACCTTCAAAAGTTAGGGGGACAGCCCCTGTGAGGCCTGTTGAGAGGACTCAGTGAGGGGGGCACACAAAGGTGCTGGGGGATGAGGGACCCCACCGTGTCTCAATAAGTGGGATTATTTAAAAGGCATGGCTCAGCGGTTGAACATCGACCTAGGATCCAGGAGATCGGGGTTCAATTCCTGGTCGGGGCACATGCCCGGGTTGTGGGCTCGATCCCCAGTCGGGGGCGTGCAGGAGGCAGCCGATCAATGACTCTCATCATTGATATTTCTCTCTCTCTCTCCCCCTTCCTATCTCTGAAATCAATAAAGATAGATATTTTTAAAAATAAAATAAAACACATTTCATTAAATTCAGCAAATGCTGCTGAAGTGATGGTCTCCAGAGGGGTTGTCACGGCTGTACTTCTGCATCCCTCCCCCTCTCTCCTTCCCCAGCCCTGTCTCCCCCTCTCTCCCTCTCCATCCCCCACATGCACCCCATGCCCCACCGGGGCCCTTCTGCTGTGCTGGTCATGAGGCAGGTCAGGGTGCAGGAACGTATCCCCAGATCTCAAAGGCTGAAAACGAAGCGTCCTTCCTCGCTCGTGCCTCGTGGGTAGTGGGCCGGGTCCGTGCCCACCCAGGCCTCCATCCCGGGACCCCCACCCACACGGGCAGAGCGGGCTTAGGAATCATGCTCAGCAGCCCCCACCAACTCCCAGGAGAGTGGTCAGGGAGACCTTCCCGGAAAGGGCAACGCTAGACAGAAACCCCCAAGAGGAGACGGAGACGCACACCAGGAGCGTCAGCAGGACCCCGGGGGCATCCAAGGGAGCTGGGGGCAGTGGGTGCCGAGGCAGGAGGCAGGCGGGTCGGGGCCAGCTCTGCCCTCGGGCCCTCTCCCCACAGAGATGCCTGGTGCAGGTGGCCTTCCGGCCTGCGCTGCCTCTGGAGCAGATCCGCCAGCAAGCCTTCCAGGCCCAGACTAAAGATGGGGAGGTCAAGCTGGTGAGTGGGGACACTGAGAGGAGGGCGTGGGGGGCCGGGCAGGGGCTGCGGGCTTCCTGCACAGAGGCTCCGAACAATCACCCCTCCCCTCCCCTCGAAGCCCTGGGCCCAGGCGCCCCTGCCAGGAGCCCTGGGCACACGTTTGTTTCAAGAGGTTACAACTTTTTCTCAGGGGACCCCTCCCTCCTCCCTAGAAAGCACCCCAAGAGGGTGGACCCCCAGAGGGTGGTCTCGGAGCAGGTGGGGCTCCCCCTTCACGAGTCTGACTACAGGGAGAGCAGGTGACCAGCAGAGGAGCCGGGAGTCCACCAGCGCAGCCCCTGAGCTGCGAGGGGAGGGGCCCTGACCCGGCCTGAGAGCGTGAACTTGAGAGAAAGGACGCGTCCCACCGGGGTAGACCCGCGAGGGTCAGGCTGCCCACAGGCCTGCAGAGGCCGCTGCAGGTGGACGCCTGCCCAAGGGACCCACAGTGCTGCCGGGGACACGGAGGGACCACCGCGTGCTTCCCAGCGTTCTCGGGTTTTATCTTGAGCACGCTTGCTCAGACCCCCTTCTGGCCGACTCTGTGTCCTCTCTGTGCCTCAGTTTCCCTGTTGATGAAAGTAGACAGTGGAGTTGGCGCACAGGCCCGCAGGGTCTCTGCGCTGGGGCCCCTCCCCCTGGACCCGCTCACTGGCCTTGGTTGCTCCAGCCCCTGCCGCCAGCGTTCCTGAGGGAGCCCTGTGGGGTTCGGGTCCCCATTCCCTACACGCCCATGCCCCCGGGTTCAAGCACCAGGGAGCCTTGAACTGTGAGGCAGCCCCACAGCCGGCCTCTTCCCTCACAGGCCCGCAGGGAACCGGCCACCCCAAGGAGGGACCCGCGGAGACTGTCCCTGTCCCTGCTGCGGCTGCACAGCCGAGAGCGACACTACCGGTCCTCCACCTCCCACGCCCCTCGTCAGCAGAAGCTGGAGCTGAAGATCAGGTGGGCGTGAGAGAAAGCCACCCCCCACTTCCCTCCAGGCCCCACGGAGACTGCCCCCCCGGAGGTCTGGGAGTGGGCTGACTTCAGGTACAGCTGCATCCAGGCGCTGCCTGGGGGCCCCTCAGGCTCTCCCTTCCTGGGCCTGTGCCCACCCCATGCCCCTGGGGCTGGTGTCCCTGTGAACAGTCTCACTCCCCAGGCTGCAGAAGATGCTTCTGCCTGAACCCCACATTCCCAGCTCAGCAACCCCAGCCCACCCCAGTACAAAAAGAGCCCCCGAGAGCTCATATGGCATTGACTCACCTGCCGGCCCTGGACCTTTGCCTGTGGCTCCAGGAACATGGCTTTGGTTAGGTGCCTGACCGGGACCCTGGGGTGGGGGGAGGCCCCTGGAGAACAGGTGTGGCCTTGTGGACCCGTCCATGGAGGGTGGGGCTGGGCCTTGGGGCTGCTGAGGGGCCGAGTGGGGGCACAGGCGCAGGTGCCATTGTCTGGCTCTGTTCCAGTTCTGAGGAGTACCAGGTTGCCCAGGCCGCCCTGACCAGGTCTTTCCAGGGGAAATTTGACAAGTTTGTGGTCCCCTGTGTTATCGCCAGTGGTGACATCGAAGACAGGAAGGGGACAGAACCCCTGAGCTTCAGGTGCAGTCCTCTGGCCCGGGCGAGGCGTGGTCGGCCAAAAAGTCACTGCCCCTCTTCTGCTACCAACCCAGCCCCAGGTCCCGAGGGTGAGGGCACGGTGGCCGGGGTGGGAGGGGCCAGGGCTAGGGGTCAGGCTGGGGGGACAGGGGCGTAGTGCCATCAGCATGCCCTGCTGCCCCCAGTCCCCACAACACCCTGTACCTGGAGCTGTGGTGTCCCACGGTGGCACCGTCCATCGTAGTGACGTCTGACAAAGGCAAGACCATCTCCAACTTCGGTGACGTCGCTGTAGGTGAGTCCTGATTGGGCTCAGCCCCCCCACACACACCCACACACAGGAGCCCAGACCCCCAGTAACCACCTGGGCCCCCATGCCCACTCAGGCCTGGGGCTGTGACCGGAGTCCCCAATCCGTTTCAGGACACAGAGGCATAAAGAAGGTCTCCATCCAGAACATCTCCTCGGAGGACCTGTCTGTATCTTTGTCCACTCCCAGCACAGGCGGGGGGGTGCAGGGGTGGGAGAGGGGCCAGGGGAGGGGCTGTGGCCGGCCCTCTCCGCTTCTCCTTGACACTGGGCCCCCAGGTGGACTTCTCTGTGCTGAACCCCAACGGCCCCTTTGTCCTGCTGAACCCCATCAGCAAGCTGCCTGCTGGAGAGACCCAGGTTCTGGTGCTGTCTTTCTCTCCCCACGAGAGCACCCTGGTGAGTCCCAGGCCCACCTTGCGCCCCCTCTCCACACGGCATGCCCACCCGCTGCCCACCCACCCTGTGCTCAGGCCTGCTGCTGACCCGCTAGGCCCTGGCACCAGCCAGTCCTCCTGGGCCCGGCCGTCCCTGGAAAGCCGACTAGGGCGAGTAGGGCGGTCAGAACAGCCTTGGCCCCAGCACAGCTGCCCCAGCGCCCCCCCAGATGGAGCTCCCACGTGCACCTGAGAGGCGTCTGCTCCCTTCCGAGAGACATGGTATCTGTAGGCCCAGGAAACACTGGACATCATCACCAAGAGAGGCACACTCTCCCTGACCCTCCTGGGCACCGGCGTGGCATCCATGATCACCTGCTCCATCGCGGGGGACGTCCTCAACATGGGCTACGTGATTGCCAGAGAGTCTGTCTCCTCCAGCTTCAAGGTGCCTGCCCTGGCCTTCTGGGTGGGGTGCCGCCCTAGAGTCAGGCCTGCCTTGGTCAGGGACAGTGGAGGTGCAAGCCTCCCCTGCCCCAGCAGCGGCCGCCTCCACTGTCCTCTCCAAGGGGAAGGCTGAGAAGGCCCAACCCTGCACCCTTCAGCTGCCCTGGGCCACCAGGGCTCCTGGTCCTCCTGCCTCAGGCCCATCTGGGGGGGGGGAGGAGCTCGGCATAGGGACCTCTCCGTCGGGGGCGGGGGGCAGGTAAGAACTGGGTGAGGACCTGCCTTCAGCTGAAAGGCAGGAGGCTGGCCGCAGAGGAGGCTCTGGAGGACTGAGGCCACCAGGAGCTGCCCCCCTTGAGGGAGCAGAGCCCACCAGACTGGGCAGCAGCCTGGGCCGCGATGGGCAGTCCGTTGACCAGCAGGTCCCTGCAGCTGCAGAACAAGTCCACGCTGCCCATCAAGTTCTCCATGCGGCTGGACAGCCTCTCCAGCACCAAGCGCGACCACCAGCAGCTGCCACAGTTCCTGGTCTCCCGGGACCAGAGGGCAGAAGTCGTGGGTGAGCTGGCAGGCGGGGTGGGGGCTGGGGGAAGGAGGGGCTGGCGGAGAGGTCTGGTGAGAGAAGGGCCAAGGGGCTGCCACGCCACGCCCCACCCGTAGGCACCCAGAACCTCAACGGCCAGAGCGTGTTCAGTGTGGTCCCGGTGGAGGGCGTCCTGGACCCCGGTGCGGCCCAGGACTTCACCGTGACCTTCAGCCCCGACCACGAGAGCCTGTACTTCTCCGACCGGCTGCAGGTCCTGCTCTTCGAGAAGGTGCACCTGCCCTGCACGCGCCCGGCCTCGCCCCTCCTCCCTTGCACGTGTCTGAGCCCCTGACCTGCCCCCGCTGCCCCCCTTGGGAGTCCCAGTGTGGGTCACAGAATGAGGCTGCTGTGCCCCCTGTCCCAGAGAGTCTCCCAGCAGATCCTCCTGAAGGGCGCGGCCCGGGAGCACATGATGTTCATCGAGGGCGGAGACCCCCTGGACGTGCCGGTGGAGTCCCTGACAATGATCCCCGCCAGCGACCCGGAGCACAGGGAGGGTGAGCCCTCTGAGGGTTGCAGTCTGAGGACCCCTCCCGCCCCTGCCAAGAGGGGCCTTGCTAGATGGAGGAAGGCTGCCTCCATTAGGACCAGCTCCCCCTCTGTCCCTAACCCCCTCGGCGGCTGCGCACACCCCCCTCCAGCCCCCAACCAGACCCTCCATCGCCAGAAGCTGAGGAGCTGAAGCCCATTCTGGTGACCCTGGACTACGTTCAGCTGGACACCGACACTCCGGCCCCACCTGCCACCCGTGAGCTGCAGGTGGGCTGCATCCGCACCACCCAGCTGTCCCCAAAGAAGGTGACCACAGCACTGCCCCGGCCCACCCAGCACCTCTGCAGCCACCCCTGCCCGGGCAGCCCCAGCCCACATGGCCTTGCCCTTGATAGGTGCGGGTGGACAGCCTGCTGGTCCAGGCTGAGAGGGCGGGTGGAGCTGGGCACCTCGTCCCGGTGCCCCGGCCTCCCGGTGCTGGGAGCCGTGCCCGGCCCCGGTCGCCAGCGGCTCTGATGCCTGCAGACAGTCGAGTTCAGCCTGGACAGCATCACATTCCTGCAGCACAAGGGCTTCACCATAGAGCCCTCCAAGGGGTCCGTGGAGCGCGGCCAGACCAAGACCATCAGCATCTCCTGGGTGCCGCCCACCGACTTTGATGTAGGTGCTTCGGACCGTGTTCGGGGAGCCCTGCGAAAGCCAAAGGCTGGGCAGGATGACACCCTGCCCCACCCAGGGAGGGGGCTGTTGGGGGACCCTGGGCAGGTGTGGCCAGCAGTGCAACAGCAATACAACACGTCTGCCTGGGGTCCGGTCAGTTAGCTGTGTCCCCCTCCTCCCTCCCCCTTCTCATTCCAGCCCGACCACCCACTCATGGTGTCAGCCCTGCTGCAGCTCAGGGGGGACGTGAAGGAGACCTACAAGGTCTTCTTCGTGGCCCAGGTGCTGACTGTCCCCTGAAGTCACAGGAGTCTCTCTGCGGAGCCCCCTAGACCCTCCTGCCCACCCTCCCGGTCTGTGGGCCAGCCCAAAACCCCATGGGCCTGGGACCTGGGCATCCCCTGCTGGGCAGGTTCGACTGGGCAGCCCTCCCATAACCACACGGCCGGGGCACCCAGCCCCACAGCACAGCTGCTTCCTACAGCCCTGGACCTAGTGAGCCCAGGAGCCCAGGGCTGCCCCTCCCTGCAGCCCACACTCAGAACCAGCAGCTGCCCACAACCCGCTCCTACCCGAGCCCCTCAGCCCCCAGCCCCACCGGCACCTGCCCAGTGGGGGGAAGATCTGTCAATAAACCCCCCGTGTGCCCCTGGTGTAGGTGTGTAATGTGCGCGACCAGAGACTCGGGAGCCCAGAGCGAGAGGTGGGGACAGACCCCCGGGGAGGCAGCCCCCTGCCCCACCACGGACACATCCGCCCATAAAACATCTGCCCTCGTCGGTTTGCATCAGGGGTTAGAGCGTCAGCCGGCCGGCTGAAGGGTCCTGGGTTCGATTCCAGCCAAGGGCAGGTGCCTCGGTTACAGGCTCCATCCCTGGCCCGTCAGGGCGCCTGCGGGAGGCTCCCAGCCCATGCGGCTCTCACATCACGTCTCTCCCCTCCCAGTCCCCGAAAAGCCATGAAAAACACCTCATCCTCGAGTGGGGGTTGAAAGTAACAATGGCTTGGCCTGGGAGAGCGGAGGGCCTCCTGGGGGGGGNCTGCCCCACCCAGGGAGGGGGCTGTTGGGGGACCCTGGGCAGGTGTGGCCAGCAGTGCAACAGCAATACAACACGTCTGCCTGGGGTCCGGTCAGTTAGCTGTGTCCCCCTCCTCCCTCCCCCTTCTCATTCCAGCCCGACCACCCACTCATGGTGTCAGCCCTGCTGCAGCTCAGGGGGGACGTGAAGGAGACCTACAAGGTCTTCTTCGTGGCCCAGGTGCTGACTGTCCCCTGAAGTCACAGGAGTCTCTCTGCGGAGCCCCCTAGACCCTCCTGCCCACCCTCCCGGTCTGTGGGCCAGCCCAAAACCCCATGGGCCTGGGACCTGGGCATCCCCTGCTGGGCAGGTTCGACTGGGCAGCCCTCCCATAACCACACGGCCGGGGCACCCAGCCCCACAGCACAGCTGCTTCCTACAGCCCTGGACCTAGTGAGCCCAGGAGCCCAGGGCTGCCCCTCCCTGCAGCCCACACTCAGAACCAGCAGCTGCCCACAACCCGCTCCTACCCGAGCCCCTCAGCCCCCAGCCCCACCGGCACCTGCCCAGTGGGGGGAAGATCTGTCAATAAACCCCCCGTGTGCCCCTGGTGTAGGTGTGTAATGTGCGCGACCAGAGACTCGGGAGCCCAGAGCGAGAGGTGGGGACAGACCCCCGGGGAGGCAGCCCCCTGCCCCACCACGGACACATCCGCCCATAAAACATCTGCCCTCGTCGGTTTGCATCAGGGGTTAGAGCGTCAGCCGGCCGGCTGAAGGGTCCTGGGTTCGATTCCAGCCAAGGGCAGGTGCCTCGGTTACAGGCTCCATCCCTGGCCCGTCAGGGCGCCTGCGGGAGGCTCCCAGCCCATGCGGCTCTCACATCACGTCTCTCCCCTCCCAGTCCCCGAAAAGCCATGAAAAACACCTCATCCTCGAGTGGGGGTTGAAAGTAACAATGGCTTGGCCTGGGAGAGCGGAGGGCCTCCTGGGGGGGGTGCCCCGAGCCCTGGGGGGCACGGGCCCAGGCCCAGAGGGGCAGCAGGAGGGGGCAGGTGGCAGGACGGCCCGGCTCTGCGCAGGCTGCCCTGGGGTGGGCGGGGGAGCCCCAGCCCCGCACTCTCGGGGAGCCTGTCGCCTCGCAAGCCACGCGCAGCCGGGAGTGCGCCCCTGCT